GTGGTTTGCCTCCGGGTCACCCCTGAGACGTATTCCGGGGTTCGGCTCCCGGCTATTACCGATATACCCTCGCTCGCGGGGGTCAATCTCGTGACCCCGCTATCTCGCGTGTCTTTCGTGCTATTTCGACCGCGCTCGTCCCGATTTGCTCTGCTTGGCTCTCTTTCTAAGGCCCGCTCGTTGGCTCGCTCGGTCGGTCATCTGCTGCTCGCCTGCCGGAGTCAATCGTACCCCGGTCACCTATATTTCGGGATTCAGGTAAACGCTAGCCATATGGGCTCTTCGGACTCGCTTATCCGGTAATACTATTCGCAAATTGTCGATGTCCGCTGCTCTCCTGGTCGCTGCTGCCCCTCGGGGTTGTCCGGCTGCTCAGCTAAGCGAACGGTTGCAAGGTTAAGGTTAACTTTCAATCCTAAAACATTGTTGAAGTATCAGTATCATACATATATACAAATAATATTATAAATTTATATTATCGTTTACAGAGTATAAAATAGACAAAATGGATCTCACAGAACAGCAGTACACCCTTATAAAAATTTAATATTGTAAGTGATTTTTTGACTAGTAATTAATCACTTAAAAACACTATTAAAAGCACTGTTAATAGTGCTTAATCAAAAAAATGATTAATCACTAGCCAAAAAAATCACTTACAGTATTAAATTTCTATAAGGGCATAATAATCGAAGGTGTAATATACAACATTACGACAACACCCGAGATGCATAAAAGAATACGAAATGGTAAGTTAAGTAGTAGAGTATTTCATTAAACTAATTTCATTAAACAGCTCGTTGAGCTCGTTGAGCTTCCATTTTATTCGTTGCTAATACTACTTTTTCAACGTTCCAAATCGTTCAACCAGAGTAACTTACTCTGGGCTTACTCTCTCCCCACTACCTTGGGTTCTTTAGAGTTGACGGAGTAGAGTTTTGGAACGTACCCCAGGTGTGTTGTTTACATTGTTGGTGGTTGGTTGTTTTGAGCGTGATACAATCGTAATCGTGTATTTCACTTGAGAAAAGGTATGTCATAAAATTACGCGTCATTTGCCTGGCACATCTTTTTTTATTATATCGCAGTAAATTTTTCCTTCTAGTGGTAAAATTCTGATGATATTCGGTAGGCTAAACTTGATTTTTAATGGAAATTGGTTTACGTCAATTCAGGAGAAAGTGAGATTAATTCAACCATGAAATGTCAGTCTACTGGCATGTCATTCACCTGGCCATTCATGGGTTTGACGTTGAAATAAAATCAAACACGGTAAAAAACGTTGAAATAAAATGATTTTTATATTTACAGATGGTTAAAAAAGCGACTCCACGATGTGGAGTCGCTCTAGAAAATGTGTCAAAAATGGTAAACCGGCATTTATCAAATTGAATTTTTTTGCTAATTGTGAATTTATCTCGGGAATAAGTAATTTTAGGAATTTTTTTGACATTTCCTTTCAAAATCACTCATTGTTGAGGTAATTCAATATTTTACTAGACATGCAAAGTCGACTCATTACCGCACTTTACCAGATCACTGATGAATAAGCCATTACTTTCAGGTTTTTGATGTTGTAGTACGCTGGTTTTCAGGGTATGTTTCTGCTTCTATATTCACTCAAAAACAGGAAAAAAAATTTTTTTTTAGGTATGTTTGAAATTGAGAGATTTGCAATCTGAAAAGACGCTATTTACGTAGAAACACCCATATACTGTTTATAAGATTATAAGATATATTGTTTATAAGATTAAGATGCGTAACACTACAAAAAGGCGTGATATCCGTACAAAATTACCTTTTAAAAAAAAGGTAAAAAAAGGCGCCAAGTACACGCATAGTAGTGTATATGTATTATGTTGTTACCCTGTTATGTTGTTACTTCGAAAAAAACAAAGTGGTAGTATTATACCTCTAAATAGCTTTACCCTGTACATACTGTTTATAAAATGCGTAATACTACAAAAAGACGTGATATCCGTACAAAATTACCTTTTTTAAAAAAAAGGTAAAAAAAGGCGCCAAGTTCACGCATAGTAGTGTACCTATATGTTGTTACGTCGAAAAAAAAAGAAAGTGGTAGTATTATACCTCGAAAAAATTTAAGTAACAAGTGGTAGACGTAATCTTTATATCTCGAAAAATCTCGAAAAAATCTAAGCAGTAGTATCTTTATTTCCGAAAAATTATAACCCAAGTGATCTATCAAGACACATCACAAAATTATGTTACCTTATCAAAAAGAAGAGTCGCGCTTCAAGTGATCTATTACAATTACAAAAAAGAAATGATATCTCTTTAATTACAGCGCCAATTACAGAGAGAACATATATATTGCCTCAAAAAATAATTGTTGCACTACTTTGAAAAATCTTTAAATTGTGTTTAAATTTAACAAGGGTATACAAGATATTTAAATACAAAGTTTACATGTGTATTTTTTAGTGGTCACAAAGAATTACAGAGGTAACAGTACAAAATAAAAATATTTTATTAAAATACATTTCTTGTAAAAAAACTTGGCGCTGCTAGACCTCGAAATTTTAAATAAATTAATAAACTTATCCTCTACTTAATTATAAGCCGCATTATCCGCCGTCCGCGTCGTCACTCACTCGCACATCCACGCTGATAATCATTTAATATTACTGGTTGGCGCTCGCTTGCACCTAATTGTAAGATAGTAGTTTAGTCGCACCTGTGTAATGTTTGACATGTTTGAATTGCGTTGATACTCGTTGTATATTAGTCAGTAAGCTCATAATCGTAAAGTTATCGTCGGTTTGAGACTCGCGCGAAACGTTGGCGGACCGCGACAGGTGTCAATACTCGCGCGACTCACCCGACTCGTGCTGCCCGCCCACGAGCGGCAAGCCTAATTATTGGGACAATAGTACTCGTTCGCGCCGTACTTCCAGGAGCGCGAACCGAGAGAGTTCCGGAGGACGATTCCCGTAAGAATCGCCGACACGTTGAGACGGAGTACGAGCCACAGTCGAGTGCTCGAAGAATATAACGGCGTGTGCCTGCTTGCCCGTTTGTGTGTTTGCTTGCTGCTCGTTTGTCTGCTTGCTCGCTACCCTGTCCGCCTGCACGCCTCCCGCTTGCTATCGAGGAGGATTCGCCACCTGAGAGGACAGACGGGAACGGCCGAGAGACTACCCCAGGAGGGCGCCGGGATGCGATACGGTGAGTCGCTTCGCTTGCTTATCCCGTTTTTTCTTGAGTTGTATCTCGCTTGCATTCGTGAGGGGATTGCCCCTTTGGTCCTTCGAACCACCCTACTATAGGCCAATCGCAAATCCGGGGAACAATTGATACCCCCCTGAGCATTGGTCCTTCGAGCCGGATTTAAAATCGCGTTTAGAGAACTCCGCCGACCTTTCGCGCGAGTCTGCTAATCAACGTTAATCGTCTCGAATATTCTATCGCATAATCGGCGCGTGCACGCTCACACCGCGTGATCGCTCTCTCGCTCGCACGTCGCATCGGCACGTCGCGGCGAAGACATCCGCGGGATCTGATCGTTGCGCGTACCATTATTTCGTTTTAAATCTCGATCGCTGCATATCGTTGCAGCCGCTAGTGAAATCGAACAATCCGCGCGTGCACGCGCGTACCGCGTGATCGCTCCCTCGCTTGCACGTCGCATTCGGCACGTCGCGGCGAGGACATCCGCGCGATATCGTCTGAATCTGGAGCGCGCCCGAATCTGGAGCGCTCCCGCTCGCTGCATTCGTTGCAACCCTCATTTTAACACGGCGGCTAAGCGTAGCGGGCACGCGCGCCCTGCGTGATCTCGCCTCTCGCACACCCGCCCTTAGCTCGATCACCCGCGTGATCGCTCTTTTGCTCGCACGTCGCATCGGCACGTCGCGACGAAGTCATCCGCGTGATTAACTCTCTCAGAGTCGCTGCACTCTCGGTGCATAAATTGCTAGTAGCCGCATTAACTGTTGCGGACCTTCGTTAAATCGAATAGTTGACGCGTACCACCTCATCTCGCGTGATTGCGCTCTCGCTCGCTCGTCGCGGCGAAGACATCCGCGGGACTATAATCGTACGCGCGCGTGCCCTTCTCTCGATCTCTCTTGCAACCGCTGCATAATCGTCGCAGCCCTTATAACAGGAAGACGAAAAACTAGGCGCGTGCCCGAGCTCCGTGCGCGATCCCCCTTGTCCGCCTGTCGCATGGACGACGCGGCGAGGAGATCCGCATCATTGTGATTGTACGCAAATCTTGAAATTGTAAGGGCTCGCGCATGTGCCATTGTCCGTCTTCGCCGCGCCGAAATTCTGCATAAACGTTGCAGACTTCGCATTGCAACTTTGATAAACTCAAAGACGATCGAATATTCGAACATATTCCATCGCCTTCGATCACTTGTCCGGAATCGAGCCGCCCGACCCCCTTCGGCCTTGGCGAGGCGCGGTGTTCTTCGCCTATTGATTCGAAATGTTTTGGTCTCGGCATTCCAAAGCGAGGCATATTTTCGTGCGTTGTTGACCGGCTGCCATCCTCCTGACTTTGTCGACCCTTCGATTCAAAGTCGTTCGTCGGTTTTCCGGCCGTCTTGCGCGTGTACATATATCTCACCTTGTTGACGAATTCGATCTTTCAACATGCCTAAAGGATATCGAGCGCGACGCGAATTGTGTATTCGTCGTATGAGGGAGATAGACCAATATTCGACGCTCGCAATAAACAACGTGGCTCAGAAATTGAATTTTCTCGTGCGTTATCCAACCGTGCGCCAAGTGGTCGGGGATTTTGAGGAAGCTCACCTCAGGATCATCCAAGATGCGACGGATGAAGAGTTTGCTGCCGAAGACGCGATTCGCGACGAGTTCGACCGGATGCGTTTCGCGGTAATAGGAAGATACGAAACTTTAACCGCCGCGGAGCGAGCAGCCGCACAACAGCCGTCGCGACCCGCGCCTACTTCGGCCATTAAATTGCCGAAGATCGATCTCCCTAAATTCGAGGGCGATCTCGCCCTATGGCCGTCCTTCATCGCCTTTTCGACACGGCAATCCACGAGAATTCTGGGGTCGCCGATATACAGAAATTTCAATATTTGTTAGCCTCGCTGTCGGGAGAGGCTCTTGGCGTCGTAAAGAACCTGCCGTTGACCGCGGAGAATTACGTGATCGCGTACGATGCGCTTCGGGAGCGCTATCAAAACAAGCACAATTTAGCCACGCAGTATTGGCGCTCGTTTGTACACGCCAAACCTTTGGTCGCGGATACCGCCGAATCGCTCCGCGCTTTGTTGGACGTGTTCACCGAGAACACGCGCGCCCTGCAAACGATGGGATATCCGGTGGAGGCGTGGGATTTTGTGCTACTGAACCATTTGTTGGAGAAGCTCACCCCTACGCTACGGGAGAAATTCGAGGCGACCCATATGTCCGCGGAACCACCCCGGTATGAACAATTGACAACGTTTCTAGCGGGATATTGCACGGTGCTCGCGGCGGTGTCGGACGCTTCACCGCAGTCAAACAAATCGAAAGCGCAGAATCAGTCGTCGAAGAGGCCCGCGTCGACGACACAGCTCGTCGCGCGGAACGCCGCGTGCCCCGAATGTGAGGAACAGCATCTACTGGCTAGGTGCCCCGAGTTCTTAAAACTCTCGCCCAAAGACCGACACAACTTCGCTCACGAAAAAGAACTCTGTTTAAACTGTCTCCGTGCAGGACATAATCTGATGAATTGCCCTAGCTCGTGGACCTGCCGGTCTTGTCAGGCGAAGCACCACACTCTCCTGCATTTCGAGCAGGCCAGCGTCTCGCCCCCCGCGAACGCTCCGGCGGCTACTCCGGTCGACGACCCCGCGGCGCCTGGGGATAGAGGCGGAAACTAGACCACATTGTCTCGAGACATCATTGGCGCGCGCCCTCCGCCCCTCGTGATGTCTCTCGTCCGTTTCGTCGTAGTTGTATGCCCTTAGTTGTAGTTATCGTTTGAACGCCGTCGAGTCACTACATACTTACGGCCTCTCTCGTTACTGCCGTTTTGGCGTCTCACCACTCGGGTGTCGCCAAACGGCCGGACCTCATTCGGAGGTCACCAATTCGCAATGCATGATACCTCTCGCCCGTTCGTCGCATGGGCACGTTCGTGGC